CTATTCACGATTCCGGTACAGTTCAACATGATGCCTCTTCACACATCGCAATAATTATTTCGAGATGCAATAAGAGACCAATGCAGCGCCATAATATCATCCTTGCCACAGAGAAAAGTAACCTCTCTCATTTGTATCAAGTGTAGCGAAACTTGCACGAGTCTGGAAGATAGGCATATCTTATGATAGAATTGAAAAGAAATCCACTAAACTGTGACACATACAAGATCGAGGCACGTCCGAATGTAAAGGATTTAGGTAGAGCGAAATTAGAAACTTGCCACCAGAGTGGGATAAACGTATTAACGATAGTCTGTTAAGATTTGCCTAGAAGTCGACAGGTGTACCCATCCAAGTTTATAATGTCATTTGCTTTGAGCAATTGTGCAAACTGTTTGAATCTTTTGTTTCACAATTATGCAATGATGCATACGTGTATTGCACAATGAAGCCGATAAGTTAGAAACAAAGCATAACAAATTTTGAAATACAGCTTTAAACTGACATGGGATAAACTATCTAATTTACACAAATTATTTAGAAATTTGACTGGTGGGCATATAATGACGTTTTGTGTAAAACCATTTGCTCAAAACAATTATGAACAAACCTATTGGATCTTATTTTTCTCAAAAAGCACTATAATTTATCAATATCCTTGAATATATTTTTCATTTATTTATTTTCATCCATCGAAATCAATACTCTTTTAATAAGAACGTGATGAATATTATCATAACGAAGAATGCCACGAAACCGAAAATTGTGAACTCCTATTCATTTCGATTTTCTGTTTTGCATGTCCAAGATTTGTTTTCATATTAGTACCCCCACCCGACCATCAATGAATATTGTATGACCTTCTGTATTTCCTTAATATATTACTATTGTTATCATGTCTTTTTTTCATTTATTTATCTTCATTTTTAAACCTGTGTTGTATTTATCTATTTATTTATGATAGCTTTATTATATATATATTTTTAACCCGCTCCAAATGTGCCCCTGAAATAAAATTATCTTGCGCTGTGCCTTTATATTTGAGCACATGAACGAGTGTGATGACCAAAACGAAGCGTGATTAAATTTTTATTGATTTCAGGACATTCATTTGTATATCCTGAACCTGCGTAATTCATAGCGTTGTCATGGCAACCGCAAACAACCTGGGAATTCTTTACTCGTGAAATCGACTTAATACGACTTACAAGACACATACCCACCTGCCTCCTTACTCACATGAATGAATACCATGTACATGTGGGCAAGACAAACTGGTGAGTCGTAAAAAACATTTGTCCTCAGTTTCTCCAAGTTCGAGAATGATTAAGTCAATTCACAGAAGTACGAACTGTTAGAGAATTTGTACTATCGCTTGACTATATTCGATACTTTGCAGTTATACTTTGTTTTGAGCGGCGAGACATAGAAAACGGAAAGACATTAACAATATAACAATTCATAAACAATTTCGAGACTTTAATAAGTTCCACATCTGTATAATCTGTACAATATTTACCAAAATAAAGCTTATAATATTTTGTTATTGAATCGTGCGATGGACCAGAAATAGAATACATTCGCTTGAATAGCGTTGCTTACGGTTGAATATTTGTAACCATATATTTATCAAGAATGCATATTTGTAATCGTTCCCTCATGTGTGAGCAATAGGGAACCATTTGGACGGATAAATAGGCATTAAAGTCTCAAATTGATATCTTGTGAGTATTTTAATGAGGGAGAGTTGAAATGGTGCTTGAAAAACTTCAGAAAAAAGGGACATGTAAATTGTAAAAAAGACTCGCTTCAACTACTTGATTAAACGAACATTTCAATAAATATTCCGTGTAGGTTCTTAATGAAGCAGAGAATGAAATAAAATCCTGGTTTATATGAAAATCAGTTTATATGCAATCAGTTTGCATGCATCAGGGTAGAAGGAGAGTGCAGTGAATATATTAACATCAGACGAGGAGTCAGACAGGGTTGTGTTATGTCGCCGGACCTGTTCAATATGTATAGTGAAATCATTCTGAGAATTGGAGGATGAAAATGGGATACAAGTGGGTGGCCATTCAATCACAAATATTAGATATGCTGATGACACTGTTTTATTTTCTGAATCAGAGAAAGATCTCCAGAGACTCCTGAATGTAGTTGTAAAAGAAAGTGAGAGAATGGGACTAGAGACACTATACCAAGACAAAGTGCATGGTGGTCTCCAAGAAGAGCAGTCCAAAATGTAACTTGAAACTGAAAGAACAGATTATTAAACATGTCTCCTCATTTAACTCCCTCGGTAGCATGATCACCGAGGATGCCAGATGTGAGACAGAGACCAAGAGAAGGATAGCTCTCGCTAAGTCTGCATTTTCAAAGTTAGGCAAAATTCTGACAAATCGAACAATGAGTATGAGGACCAGAATAAGAGTATTAAATTGTTACATCTACCCAGTATTTATGTACGGTAGTGAAACATGGACTTTAGCCTCTGATAATAAAAAGCGTTTGGAAAGTTGCGAAATGTGGTTTTTAAGAAGAATGATGAAAATTCCCTGGACTGACAAAGTTAGTAATGAGGAAGTTCTTACACGAGCTGGAGTGCAAAGGAAAGTGATACGTGAGATGTTGATTAGGCAGTTGAAGTTCATGGGTCACATTACACGTAAAGAAGGCCTAGAGAATCTTGCTTTGACAGGGAAAATTGTGGAAAGAAGGAGTAGGGGAAGAAGGAGGAAACTTTGGATGAACAGTCTGCAGAAATTGTTGGAAGAGAGAGGAGTGAAAGAACTGGGAGTGGTACTAATACAGAAGGCTAGGAGCCGAGGGTTGTGGAACAGCATGATCGCCAAAGTCAAACGATATGGCACTTAGAGAGAGAGAGAGAGATATGGAAAAAGGAGAGAAAATTGAAAATAGAGATGAAAGAAATTTTAGGAGAGAAAGTGAAGGATGACGGAGGGTGTACCGTAAATAAATGTAACTCACTTGTAACTCAGATGCCATATGGACAACGAAGAGTTATTATAAACATTGTATACATTTGGCCATCATTCAATAATTTCTTATTTTATTGTGACTAGTAAAATAAATTCGAAAAATACTGAAGCAACAAACATGGAATTATGGAAAGGTTATTGGGAAGAAATTGGAATAAGTTAGATTATTCAAACAAAATCAAGAAAGAATAATTATTAACGTGTTGAGGCACTTTTTTCTGGATGAACGAGCAATTCAGAATAAATTGCTGTGAGAGCTCTAAGGCAGAGAAATAAAAGAAAATGATGGTGAAGACGCGTGGAAGGAAAGGAAGAAGCGTCAAATAAAGATGATACCGTGCTAAGGAGCAACATGACGGATGAAGCTAAAGAACAGGAGAGACCTCTCTCTGGTCGACAATCACAATTATCTAAGACACTTGGGATTCGTTTGTTGGGTAATAAGCATTTCAGCCTTAGTATCTATACGAAAGAGAATAGGGACCAGTAAAGACAAAACGGAGTGATTGGCTTTTTTAATTTTACGAGTGTATAGAGTGCATCTATATTCCCAGGGAATCCTACTCATACTCAACAACCACATCAGGGGGAGAGGGAGAGAGAGAGAGAGAGTGAGAGAGAGAGAGAGAGAGAGAGAGAGAGATAGTAGATGAAATAATTTTTATTCAAGGAAATAGGCATCGACAATTACAGCGTTTTGTTCTACATTCTATATATATATATATATATATATATATATATATATATCCTAATGAACGTCACGTTCCCGGCTACATACAACATCCAACAAAATGGAGTACACCCTTTTGAAAAAAATATGATTACTATTCCTATGTAGCCCCTTAGCACGCTAAGCTGTTTTCACGTTGTACCTATAACACGTATTACCGAATGCGGCTTGTGTTTATACTACCACTTTGAAAACAAGTTACGTTAAAATATTCAACTTTTTGTTAATTAGGGTGTAGTTTTGTTGGATACATAGCAGAAGAAGACATCATTGTACATCACATGTATACAAAAGGTCTTGATTTACTGCACTGTTTATGCTATGTACCTTATAATCAGGTGATTCCATGCGTCATGTTTTTTATTCATGAGCTTGCCTTAACCCATTTATTAACCTAGATCACATTCAATGGGTCAAGAAAGGATTCAATCTATGGCTGTATCGTCCATCTTCCCCTAGACAGGGTGCACTTGGGAATACATGTAATTGACATCCACTGCTGGATTTCTGCAAAGGCAAATTGTACTTTTGTTTTGAGTGACTATTATTGAAAAAATAAGATGGTTGGTGCAATTTACAACTCGGGTTCTCTGTGATTTTTTCCCATTGTTATCCAGAAGGCAACATTTGAACAAAACAAAAAAGAACCAGGAAGAAAAGAAAAAAATCAACGTCGTGATAACATCAGGTGTAAAAGGTAGGGAACGGTATGTAAGTGTGAGTGTGTGGGTGTGGGGAGGGGGGGATGAAGGGCAAAACCGAGCCAAAGTGCGAAGTGACCAACTTGCTGTAACAACGCAGACAAAGGAACACGCCGAAATGAATCAATCACGAAAAAACGCCATATATATGAGTACTTGTTTGCCTAGAGTTTTGTGTACTGGTACCTTAAATGAAAATAGCCCTTACTAATCTTGATAAATCATAAATTATGAATCTCCTTTAGCACCCTTTAGCGTATAAAACAAGTAAACCGTGGTAAGACTCTTGACTCTCATATGAGAGGTATTGGATTCGATCTCAGGTCGATTCTTGCACCCGAGTACCAGGGTATTTCCCTGCATTTGTCCTTCTCGACCTAGGTGTTAAATGGGTACCTATCAATGCTAAGATAATAATAATTGCAGGGCCCGCGGGAAGAGCATTATTAATTTTGATGTGGCTATCCTACTTAAATAAGACCAACTTAATTATATCGAACTGATACAGTTTAAATGAAGAGTAAAGCCATTTTCCTTTTTCAAATAAATGTTGATATTTTTGCTTACCCATTGGTGTTGAGACGATCAACCAAGGCAACAGCAATACGGTATCCTCCATGCGAACAGTTCGAGGGACAATCGCACAGAGAATCTCGGTGATATGCATCCAATTTTAAGGCCAAATGATAAGCTGAAAAAATAGAACGCGGAAAAAAGATTTTTCAATAACAATTCAATTATTCAATTGTTTATGATAATCTACCCTACATTAACGAGAAAATTAAATCCAAATAAATCATAGCTACAATTAATAGAATGAAAACGTACTGTATCTCAGCAACTGTTACGTAATTTCAAGAAATGCCATATGGCGTAGTCGTGTGTCTGATACACGTCTGTGACAAACAAACCACAAACAACAAACAATTAAACAAAGACAAAAACAACACATGAAAAACACAATTACACATACTCTTATCGACACATCATCGCACTCGCACACCCCACCCACACACCCCATCTCCACACGCATACACCCCAACCCCACACGCACACACCCACCCCTACACGCACACACGCCATCCCCACACGCACACACCCCCACCCCACACGCACACACCCCCATCCCAACACGCACACACCCCCATCCCCACACGCACACACCCCTCTCCCACATGCACACATCCCATTCCTACACCCACACACACTGACTCTAATATGCAAACGTAAAGATCAAGTTATCGTCAACGATGAATAATACACATTCATTAGAATAGTTTATGAAATACTGCACGCCTTTTCTACAAGATGGTATAATATTCTGCAGTATTCAGTAACATTTAAGAGATCAAAACTCATTTACATATTTATTTTCTACTATTCTATATCACCAGGCCCCCCTCGACATTTTCGGAGATTGCGCCGCAACCGCTTGGAATTTTGAATTGTCGTTTCATGACTTTTTCCCCTCAAGTCTTACGCACAGTTTGATACCATTTTCGTCGGATATACCTGTAAGGTGTTACATAAAAATTAGTATGCGCATGTCATCAAAAATATGCTATATACTATGAATTGATATCAAATTGCTTTTATAAGTTACTTGATGTATTCCAGACAAAAGAATACATTAGAAATAAAACAATAGATATAATAAGAAATAAAAAACAAAAAATACAAAAGAAAATAAATATTTGAAAATCGCATCAAATTTGCATAAATTATCATTATTAATTACATCAAAATAACTATTTTGTGTTAGAAAAGAAGTTTCATATGAATAATGGGTTTCAATAAACATTCAAAAAGTGGAGTCTGACAATTTTTGTAATGATTGTAGTTCCCTGTATATTTCTAGATTTGATATTCATGAATGCGTATTCATAATTTATGCAAATTAACTATGCACTTTCAAATATCATGAAAATAATGCAACCTCATGAATTTGAAATGAAGGAAACATTTATTCAATACATTACCAACATTCTTCACAAGTCTACAGACAAATATGAAGAGTTTGCTGTAAAATGCATAAAATTAGCATTTTAGGAAAAAACTAATTATACCATCTTGTTCCTTACGTAAATATCTACAAACATGCACATTTTCGCGTTCATCGGACCCCCCCCCCCCCCCCCCCAGTCACGAGATGCTCAAAATAGCCCAGTACAGTAAGGGTTAAAAAGAATGCTAAGTGCTGGTAAAGGCCAAACAAAACATACTTTTAAGTTTCCTCGTTATGTTTAGTCTGACAAATAAGGACGTTCTAAAAATAGCAGTTTTCTTACAATGTCATTTGCGTTTTAAGTGTTCCAGTACTAAAAATAGTTGACACCATTAAACCGTATTTTCAAGTCATATTTGTGGTCTCATAACTGTGTAGTCCGAGGTGCCCATGTCTGTGTCCAGTGCTTGCCATTATTCGTGATTTTCAGCAATACTTAAGTTAGTGCTTCTGTTAAATGTTGACGATTCCAAATATACATAACACAAACATTATTCCTAGTTCTATATTCAGAATAACATACAGACAGTCTTTCTTTTTTTAAATCAAAATGAAATTGCATGATCGCCACTCGTCCATATCTTTAAAGTTGTCGGACGTACGTGTAGGGGTTGAGTATGTTTACAAATGCGTCAATGTGTTTTCCCATGTGTCTTCCCGCGGTATAAACACTTCCAGATAAATATTTGTTCCTTCAAATCGGCAGGATCGACAGTGTGTGAGAGAAATGTGTGAGTCGTCGCCAAAAAATGAGATCATATTGCTCATTTATCATCGACGACAGAGATGAGAGATAATTTATAGACCCGATTTAGTTCCTTATTTTAAGCACACGACGATTGAACTCTTTCTTTCTCTTTACCTACGCTACCCCTATCTCTCTCTCTCTCTCTCTCTCTTTCTTTAGGTCTTCCTATCTATGCATCTCTCATCCTTTCACTCTGGCTTTCTCTGTCTCTGTCTCTCTTTCTCTCTTTCTATCTCTCATTGGCTATCTCTCCTTTATTCACCAATAGTGATGTTAAGAGGATTATACAATATTCTCAGGGATATAAAAGTTTGACAAACAATGACATATTATCGAAGAACGCATCTTTCCATACGGAAACATTAAATTATGAACATTACAACATTCGCACGTCTCCATTAAGATTGCATTAATGGTGATTAGATAATGCGTCTTATTTTTTTTCCGCATAAATATTTGGCAATTATTCATCAAGCAATTAATAATCTAGAAAAGGAAATGCATAGCAAATTATATCATTCAAACGTCAAATGTTGGTACTGGTATAGTACTGGCTTTATGCTGATCAGTGAAAAGCACAAGAAAGACATGTGTTTTCACACAGCAAAGGAAATTGTAGAGGGGAGAATTCAACTTGACCATGCATGCATGACAATAGACTAAAGTGTACTACGAAGCCGGGCTTTTAAACACACTCGGAAATGATGTGCCTGCCCCCGCGAGCCCTGCTTCTCATCAACTTGTGCCAAATATAGCACACATACGGATCGAGAACATCTTCAAATTCCACTTCATATTCAGGGCATGGTAGTATGAGTAGCGAGAAAGAGAGAGAGAGGGGGAGAGGGAGAGAGAGAGAGAGGGAGAGAAAGAGAGAGAAAGAGAGAGAAAGAGAGAGAGAAAGAGAAAGAAAGGGGTGACACAGGAGGGAGATATTGAGAGAGATGGAATACAGGTAAATGATAGGATGAAAGTGATATGGTTGGGGTAGAAAGATAGGGAGAAGTTGAGTAGAGAGAGAGAGAGAGATGGAGAGGGTTAAGATTGACAAAGACAATGGTGATTATAGGAAGATAAAGGAAGGGAAAGAGGAGTGTGAGAGAGATGGTAAGGAGCAATACAGGTGAATGATAGGAAAATAATTGTATGAATGTGGGGAAATGAAGGGAGATAGATAGATAGAGAGACTGAGAGAGAGAGGTGACGATGAGGAAATGGTGAACAGTGTGGGTGTTAGTGTGTGTGTGTGTGTGTGTGAGAGAGAGAGAGAGAGAGAGAGAGAGACAGAGAGACAGACAGAGACAGAGACAGACAAAGACAGAGCAATAGAAAAAGAGGAGAAGGAGAGAAAGAGAGGGAGGGGTCGAACATCGGGTTGGACAAGGACAATACGTATAATTAATTCACGAAAACAGTTACTGACTAAAAGGAGGGCAAGTGGTGTGATATTTGGCTCTACTGAATGAGGTTAAAGATTAACTTTAGTACTGGTAATGCGATTGCATTGTGAAAGAAAAGGTGTGGAAAGGATCAGAAACAGTTGATCATGTATCATGTAAGTATTGGTGTGTGCTGCAAGGTTCTGGAGTCATCAAAATCATAATAAATTTGACCGAGTCTTGGTAAAGTAACAAGCAATGTACACAGAAAGCTCTATATGGGACAACACACATGGTGTCGGGGCTAGTACACCTTGATTTCCTTGTCTTTCTATGCTCATTACTCAGCCAGTATACATTTTCTTCCAAAATTGTTTGGCACATTTATTTGTAATCTTGAACATTCAGTGTAAGTTTCGTTTGAATCTGTGAGAATTAATTTTCTTTTATTTACCAGAACTGGAGTTTATCTTTAACAAAAGAAGTGAATCTAATAGATAAATTAATATTCACTTGTAAATGATAATACGTTATGACATACAGAGACAAGGAGAATATTATTACGGGTGGGAAAGGGGTTATCAAAGTAATAGAAGAAACGAAAATGGATAAGCAATACAGTGGTCTCGCAGGAATGTAAAACACTGATAGTTTGGATGATGTTGATTGAAGAAAATATAAGCAAAAGTTACATTCCTTCTTAACGTACTTCCACAAAAACTTGATACAAGTGAATTACTCATTTCCAATTTCACTGCTTGTTCATATAGAACTGAAGAGAGATTCATCTCTCTGCAATAATCATAACTATTGGGAAAAGAGCCTACCGCCTGGCCCCACCTCTTCCCGCGTTTTACCAACAGGCCAATTCCCATTAAGGTCCGTGTTCTTATGATGCTGATGATTCGGTCAACATGAATGTTTCAAATCCCACACCACCTTCACCGGATCCCTGCCCCTGTCACCATGTACTGCCTCAACCTGACCTGAAGGTATGCAACACCCGGAGCTTCGGTATCTCTGCAGGGGGGGGGGGGGGTGGGTCATAATCATTGGGATTCGTGAAAGCTTTACCCCTTTTAACTATACGGTACTAATTTGTCAGCCAGCGGTGTCGTTTCCAACCAGACACCACTACCACCACCACTACTACCACCGCCGCCGGGTCCCTGCCTCTGTCACCACCCGCTGCCCAACATGGCTCGGACCGGTAGCGCTAATGATCGCATGCCCGGCGAGTCTACCCGTTTGGTAATGGTCCAGCGGTAATTTAATGATTGGTTAATAGCAGGATGTTTTCTATCAAGGGGCACTTTCATAAATGATAGTGATTTGTATTCAAGCAATTTGCTAATCATTACAGGTTGTTGCAATACCCGCTCTTTACAAGAAATTGTGTCTGAATATCATGTCTTTTCACATTCTACATGCCACAAAAAAAAGATAATTTCATAACAACCAACACAATAATATGGTCAAATTGTTATTCTCTTTCTCAATTCTGGTTTACAACCACACTTTATAACAGGAACAACGACTTCCAATCGGGAATTAACCAA